TTCTTCCCTGGGATGCTCGGCACACAGTTGTCAGATGGAGCCTGTATAATTAGTTCAAGTGTTCTCATGCCGGTAACTATCCCATTAGAATTGTGGATGTGCCTCTCATTCAGTAATTAACATTCTGATCAAAATGTGAATTTTTCCATCACATCCCCCAGTTTCAAACCTGTGGGAGGGAGAGGGAACAAGCTGAAGAGATGAAACTGCTCGCGTCTTGGCAAGCCATCCACCATGGGATATTGGATCCCAAGGCCCCTCCTTGAAGGGAGGGGTTACCGGAAGTTGCTGAGATAAATATATAGAAACAATTGTTCTGCACCCAAGAAATGTTTGGAATTATAGATAGATAAGCTACTAGCATGTTAATGTGCTCTGTGTGGGTGAGAATATATATATATACACACAAATATATATAATCTGTATATACACACACGCATATATATGCAGCATTTCTCAAGAGACTGACCACATCCTCTTAAATGCACTTTGAGAGGAGTTCTTACTGAGCAAGCTCAACAATGATCCCAACTTTTTTTCCCCTTTGATCCCAAATTCTTAACTGCCTGCCCACTTGCCTTTGCAGCCTCCTCATGGAGGTCCTCGCTGGCCTTGCAGGCTGCAGACAGGCTCCAAAGACGAGACTGTGCAGCCACACTGGCCGATCCCTGCTGTTTACGTGTCCCCAGGGCTCAGCACACAGAGTAGCTGGCTAATGACTACTATCGGACAGCTAAATTAATAAACAGTAATATAAACAGCATTAAGCCCCGGCCCCGCCTACTGTGTTAATTAGTTTGCGTATGGACCGTGCCCAGAGCAATCTGCTTTGTTAGGCTTTTTGAGGTGTACAAATGTGGTCGGGAAGCGCTACCTCACCGCTTGCTCCTGGACTCCCAGGGGATGCCTGCCACCAGGCAAGGTGTGTATGTGCAGGGTATGTGCAGCTGTAAACTGAGCAGGAAGGACCACTGGGAGTTACAAATTCTTTAAATGCTGCATGGTTTACACTAGAGGAAGTAAGTGCAGGTGGCATCTACACACCTGTTTAGAGTCCCTGCATAAGCTGGGGACAGCGGGCTCATGGGGTCCATGTGGCCGCTAGGAAGGATTTTTTTTTTCCCACACAAGCACTTAGAGAAACACTCAAGATAATCATAGTTTCAGGGAAGATGCATCCCCACACACCCCAAAAAATGAGAAGCAAGGAAAGATGTCTGAAGAGGAAGTATCAGCACTCGGAGAAAAGCAAGAGCCTCAGTTGGCCGAAGAGAGACACCGAATGGAAGGGGCTGCACAGGAACCTGGCCCTGAAGGATCAGGAGGGTGTGTGTGATGAGCTCAGAGCTCGTCTGCCACACAGGAGGATTCTCCTAACGAGAGTGCTCCTCCCCATCAGCTCACCAACAGGCCACCTTTCCCTGCTATCAACCCTGCCAACAAATGTGACTGTATTCTGTGGGCCTCTCCAGCTTGTGATCAGTGGAGATTTTATACATTAATTTTTTTAAAAGACTTATTTATTTTTATTGGAATGTCAGATATACAGAGAGGAGGAGAGACAGAGAGGAAGATCTTCCATCCGATGATTCACCCCCCAAGTGAGCGCAACGGCCGATGCTGCACCGGTCTGAAGCCGGGAACCAGGAACTTCTTCCAGGTCTCCCACGTGGGTGCAGGGTCCCAAAGCTTTGGGCCGTCCTCGACTGCTTTCCCAGGCCACAAGGAGGGAGCTGGATGGGAAGTGGAGCTGCTGGGATTAGAACCAGTGTCCATATGGGATCCTGGTGCATTCAAGGTGAGGACTTTAGCCGCTGGGCCACGCCGCCGGGCCCGATTTTATGCATTAATTAATTTGATTGCACATAGATTGTCATCAGTGCAGTCAGGCAAGTCCACATTTAAGACCGTGTGGGTTGGCTTCACATTCTCCACCTTCGCCTTCAGTTCCGAACTCCTCTGTCTTCAGGATATTGGATATGAAAAGCCAAGATTCATTCAATGTATCATTGCCTGTTATTATTAATTATATTTTAATTAAATAATCATTAACATAGCAAATAGGAGAAAATGAAAGCATATCACAGCCATTAAAAAATACTTAGCAGGAGCCCAGCATGATAGCCTAGCAGCTAAAGTCCTCACCTTGCACGCGCCAGGATCCCATATGGGTGCCGGTTCTAATCCTGGGTGCCCCGCTTCCCATGCAGCTCCCTGCCTGTGGTCTGGGAAAGCAGTGGAGGACAGCCCAAAGCTTTGGGACCCTGCTCCCACATTGGAGACCTGGAGGAGGCTCTGGGCTCCTGGCTTGAAATTGGCTTAGCTCTGGCCATTGCAGCCATTTGGGGAGTGAATCAGCGAATGGAAGATCTTCCTCACTGTCTCTCCTCCTCTCTGTGTGCCTGACTTTCCAATAAAAATAAAATAAATGTAAATATATATATGTTTAGCATGGTTGGGGGAGGGACGGTACAGCGTTGTGGCTTGCAGGTTAAGCTGCAACTTGCAATGCTAGCCTGCTATATCGGAGTGCTGTTCAAGGCCCAGGTGCTCTGCTTCAGCACCATCTCACTGCCGACGGGCCTGGGTGAGATGGAAAACGGTCCGAGTGCTTGGCCCCGCCACCCACATGAGAGATCCAGATGGAATTCTGGGCTCCTGGCTTCGGCCTGGTGCAGCCTTGGCTCTTATGGTTATTTGCAGACTGAACCAGCTGATGAAAGCTCAACCTTTTTTTTTTTTTTTAACTAGAAATTATATATATTTACAAAGAATTTTTAATAACTTGTTGAAAACTTGCAGTGAGTGTAAGAACAGGATGCGGGACAGGCATTGTGGCACAGCCGATTGCGCCATTGCTCGCAATGCCTGCACCCCCTGCAGAAGGGTCAGTGTGCAGCCCGGCTGCTCCGCCACTCCTGATGTGGCTTCCTGTTAGTGCGTCCTGGGAGGAAGCTCGTGCAGGTGCTGGACTCCTGTCACCCAACTGGGAGACCCAGACGGAGTTCCTGACACAAGCCTGGTTATTGTGGACATCTTGGAGAGTGAACCCAGCAGGTAGAGGATCTCTTTTTCTGTCTCTGTCACTCCAACGTCCAAGTAGATGAAAATAAACTTTGATAGAGGCAAAAAGGGCAGGGTACCACGAGGAAAGCCCCACGTGTCACAACTTCCACTGAGAGGTAGAAGATACATGCCCTTGAATAACACTAGTCATCCCAATTTCCACACTTATCTTGTGCACAGGAATTTGGGACAAAAAGATTTTCTATCACCTTTTTGGGTTATTTTCTGTTAGGATGGCATTTTGTCAGGATTTTCCTACAGGGCAGGTTAGACACTGGGTCACAAGGGCTTGCTTAACAGCAGTTGAAAATGGTAACAGGCTGGGCTCAGCGCAGGAGCCTAGTGGCTGAAAGTCCTCGTCTTGCACACACCAAAATCGGTTCTGATTCCACCCGCCCAGTTGCCCATCCGGGTCTCTGCTTGTGACCTGGGAAAGCAGTCAAGGACAGCCCAAAGCCTTGGGACCCTGCACCCACATGGGAAACCTGGAAGACGCTCCTGGCTTCTGCCTCTCCCAGTGACTGGGGCGTGGAAGGAACCACAGTCGTGCTGACTGGAGGCATCCTCTTCTGACACACAGGGCAGCTGAGACTGGATCTGAATGAGATCCAGTGACTTGCACTCGGCTGAAGCAGGAACGCCTGCTAGCGTTCATTCCCCTCCCAGCCACTACCTAAAGCAGCAAGCATCCCATGGATGGGGCAGAGGGAAGGCGTCAGCAGAGGCCTTAACTGCAATTCAAAACGTTCTCTGCTGAAGAGCAGTTGGTGTAGTGCCAGCGCCTCTGAAACTACCGCCAAACCTGGGTGCAAAGGAATGGACTGCCTTAAAGGTGTGGGATGAGACTGCCCTCTAGCGGGCAAGCAGTCATTGGTCTAGCCATGTTCTGCTTAACGCTGTCTTTGGGGCCCGGTTGATGTTTGGGGATTCTTCTTGTAGAAGGAAATTGAGATTTTCTCTTATGTCAAACCCTACGTTTAGTGACCCTGTTAACCTCTGACCTTGACCATCGTTTGTTCATGCTATAGACGAGTAGTTTTTGTTTCTGTTTTACACACGCACACACATTGAAGGCATCACTTCCCTAACATGGTTCTGGTTCCTAAAATCCAAGGTACGTCTTGTCTTATTCTTTCAGCAGCTTCTCCTCTGTTGCCCACTGAAGTTAGTTGACTAGGATAGAAAGGAATTCTTTCTCATCACCCCTGCCCGCACCCCAGAAGACTCGCCTGGCTTCTCATTTGTTCCCAAAGCGACCTAATCTCAACTCTCTGATCTGCCGTGCCTCAAGTGGCTGACTCACCCGGATCTCTCCACAGGCCGATAGAACTCAGTCTCCTGGGCCCGACTCCAGCCCCGCTGAATCAGTCTCTGTGGTTGGAGCCAGGAACTCGGCTTTACAAACTTCCCAAGTGGTTTCTGATGTGCAGCCAGGTTCGACAGCCAGCTGTGCTAAATCCCCCACTTTATACTCGTTTCTCGTAGCTTCCCCTGCAACCCCACCCCAACGGCATCTCCAGAGGTCTTCAGCCCGTGTCCCTCATTCAAACTGACCGTTCAGGGGTTCGTTCAGGAGTCGTCCACATACTCTTCCAGCTGAGTGACATGGGAAGGAAGAGAGGGCCACCAAAGACATTGACCCCCCTTGCTGACAGGGCAGCCTGTGAGTTTGACATTTGGTTCCAGAGACAGAAGCTTATGAGTTACCTATCCAATTCCTTATTTTTCATCAAGTCTAACTCTCTGGAGGACCAAAAGCAATAGGTGAGCTTGTTCCCTTTGTACTTAGAGGAGAGTTGACTGATGTGTCAACTGTCACATGAAGGAGTCGGTACCTGTCAGTTTCTGCCCTCACATGCAGTCCTGGCCTCCAGGGACATGCAGGGAGGAAAGGGGACCAGCATCTCCAACCTGCTCTTTTTCCCTCCCACCAGGCCAAGCGTGCTGTGCAACGAGGAGCCACCGCAGTCATTTTTGATGTGTCCGAAAACCCAGAAGCGATCGACCAGGTAAAACGCTCTGGCCTTCCTGGCCCCGAAGGCTGCCTGTGAGAGGCACATCCCGTAAGCTGGACTCTGTCACCTTGGAAGTTCTGCTTGAAGTTAGATGTCACACCCATGAGAGATGAAGAGTCAGGGAGATGGGGTCAGGGAGCTTTTCTCCAAGGCCATCGCTTCTGGAAGCTTCCAGGCTGCCACACCTAGCTGGCTGAGAACTGACCATTGTCTTTCTGCAGCCTCTGTCTCTCTCCGGCCTCTCGAGGAAGTCCATCTTTTAAGCACAGCCCTGTCTTCCTCCCCAGCTAAACCAGGGCCTGGAGGACCCACTGAAGAGGCCGGTGGTGTATGTGAAGGGTGCAGATGCCATCAAACTGATGAATATCGTCAACAAGCAGAAAGTGGCCCGAGCCAGGATCCAGCACCGCCCGCCTCGAGTGAGTTTCACACCAGCCAGCCCCGGGATCTGCGCGCGCCCCCGGGCACCTGCCCCACTACCGCCTGTGCTTCTGTTCCCTTCCAGTTCGCACACCCCCATCTCTTCAGTACCCCTTCAGGCTCCTGCACACAGAGCCTGGCTCAGCAGTGGCACAGGAAGCCAGAGAGAAATTTCACCTGTTGTCTTGGATGTGAGCAATTTGAACAGTCTCATGAAAAACAGATTTGCACTATGATGTCACATTCCCTGTAACAACTCAATGGCTTCCTTTCTCCTCCGTCTCATCTCCCTCTGAAAGACTCACAGGGGACGGGAGAGGTGAAGCCCCTAGCGCTCAGCTTCCCATGCTCCCTGCCCCCGACCTTAGGACTATGGGAAAGGCCTGTACTTTTCGCCCACGTTGGGTTCAACTCCCTGCTTGCCATGTGAAGTTTACCTTCCTCCAGGACTAACACTGGGGTCTCATGGGCAGTGCCAAGCCTCCCCTCCTTAAGATACTTTTGGAGGAGACACTGCCGTTAGTCAGCTCTTCATGGGCATCTCCTCCCCCCAAACCTGGGGCTGAAGGATTCTGGAGGCACAGAGCAGGTGTCCCATGAACACTGCATCTCCTCCTCACGAATACTGCACTGTTCACATGCGGGGATGGCCCTGCCACCTGCCCAGGTGTTCAGATGCACAGGACTTCCCGGTCACCAAGCCCCACTCCTCGGGGCTACGTGCCCGTCCCAGGGGAAGCAGCTCCTGAGTTCTTCTAGGAGACAGGGCACTATGAGGAGAAAAACACACACTAAGGGCAGGGGGAGTCTGCAGAAACTGGCCAGGTTTTTCAAGCACTTTGGGAAATATGACTCATTGTAGTGGAAGCCAGTATCTGTGGAAGCAGCGTACCGTTTTCTGAGTGCTTATAACTTGTTAATTATACAGCTCCTAATTGCTGTTCCCACAAAACATGACACCCACTCCCTTGTCCCCTGAGTGCACTTATGCTCTTCCTGACTAGCTGAAGTGACACCGTGCCGTTCCATGGGGAGCCGGGCTTCCAGTGGGGCTCCCTTGACCATGGGGTGTCCTGACCCCTGCTGGCCTTCCCAGGCCACGAGAGCACGTCACATGCAAGAGCTGCAGCCCACGAGTTTGTCCTGAGCTAGAGGGAAGTTGGCCCCATGTGCCTTCCCCTGGCTAGGGCCATTGACTGCCAGGCTGAAGCGAGCCTGTGTTGTCTTACAGCAACCCACCGAGTACTTCGACATGGGCATCTTCCTGGCTTTCTTCGTCGTGGTCTCCTTAGTCTGCCTCATCCTCCTGGTCAAAATCAAGCTGAAACAGCGGCGCAGCCAGGTAACACACATGGACCCCCGCTGCCCATCACTGAGGACCACCAGGGACTTGGTCAGCCCTTCTGTGACGGCCTGAAGCACAGCAGTGTCCAGCACTAGGCCTGACCATCGTGCCTCAGCTAGGACCTGGCAGCCAGCAGCAGCGTGGGCAGAGTGGCATGGCAGATCTCAGACCCTGGCCCGCTCTGCTCAATCTGATTCTGTGTGCCAGGCTCCCTTGGTGACTGTCAGTGAGCAAAGTGGCCACTGTGGCACTTCAGCAAGCACATCCCTGTGTGTTCTTGCAAGAAGGCAAAGTTTGGCCACAGGGGCTGCTGAGAGGCTATAGGCAGGGATCCAGACTCAGACCTCGGTCGTGAGGGGGCGCAGGTGAGCAGTCCACTGAGAGCATGGTCACTGACATTCCCCCAGCAGGTCAGCACCTCCGATGGGCATGCTGCTCAGGCCTCACACTTGTTATCTCTTGATTCCTGCCATGTCCTTCCAGTAAAGAGCAGGTTCCCTTGGCATGGAGCAGTTTAATAACTCATGAGCCAGCCTAATCTGGAGGCAGGCGGGCTAAGAAATGGGCAAAGATCCCTGTGTTCGGGTGACAGTAGAGGCCTCTGTGGGGCAACCTCGACTCAAAGCGATTGCTTACCCGCGGTCCCTGGCGGGCAGCAGTGACTGCTAATGGGCCCCAGACCCTAACAGCTGACATTCTACCACGCAGAACTCCATGAACAGACTGGCCGTGCAGGCTCTGGAGAAGATGGAAACCAGAAAGTTCAACTCCAAGAGCAAGGGCCGCCGAGAGGGGAGCTGTGGGGCCCTGGACACACTCAGCAGCAGCTCCACATCTGACTGTGCCATCTGCCTGGAGAGGTACATCGACGGAGAGGTAAGGAAAGAGGCATCCTGGGCAAGGCCAAGGCAGGCCACTCAGCAAGGGATGCCCAGCCCTGGAAGGCCAGGGCACCCCCTTCCTTTCCTACAGCTCTGCAGCAACTTCAGGTCACTAAGGTGGGGGGTGCTGACATGTTCTGACCTCTCCAGCCCTGGGAGGGAGTGACCACAGTGCAGCCACATTGAGCACAGGTGGCTTCGGAAGTCCACCAGGGACAACACGGGGAGACTTTCAGAAAGCTCATGAAAGTCTCATTGTCGATTTACCCATTTGCATTTATTTGCATATCAGAGTGACAGAGAAAGGGAGGGAGGACATTCCAAGTGCGAGTTGGACTCCCCTGCATTACGTTACGTTGCCTGTCCATCAAACTGCAGTTCAATGTAGTTCCCAATAGACTTTTGGAAGCCACTCCCCCACTCCCTCCCTCTCCTAGTGCACGATTGGCCAGAAAAGTCTGCTTTCAAGAAAATCTACACATGCTATCTTCTTTTCTTTCTTTATTTATTTTAAAGATTTATTTGTTTTTATTGGAAAGGCAGATTTACAGAGAGAAGGAGACAGAGAAATATCTTCCATCCATCCGCTGGTTCACTCTCCAAGTGGCCACCCTGACTGGAGCTGAGCCAACCCGAAGCCGGGAGCTTCTTTGTGGTCTCCCTTGCGAGTGCAGGATCCCAAAGCTCTGGGCCATCCTCTGCTGCTTTCCCAGACCACAAGCAGTGAGCTAGAAGGGAGTTAGAGCAGCTGGGACACAAACCAGTACTTGAAAGGGAAGGCTTATCCAGTTGAACCATAGCGCTTTTCTTTGAAATGTTCCAAGTTGCAAGCATAACACCATGGGGGCTACATGCCACTCATCATCTGTCAGGAGATTAAGTGAATGTGGTCCAACACATCATCAGACAGATGCACACAAGCACTCCATGCCCAGAGACACAGAGGCAGGGAGCCAACTGCTCATTCGGCAAGCATTGCACCTCTGATGGAAACGCCATCCGCTGCCACAATGTAGGCTAGCAAGTAAAAGCTGAGTTTATGCAGAACCTTTTAGAGTCCTGGATGCCTGCCTGGACTGGACTGTCTGCTCTGGTACATTCTGGCTTTGTGGTCCTGGGCCAATGACCTCTTTGTCAAAGCCTCCTGTGCTTGTGCCATGGGCCCAGCCTTCCAGGTGGTCTCAAAGGTTACCTGAGGACTCACAGGAGACCTTTGCCATGGTAGTGTCAGGCGTTTGTTTGAAATGTTATCAACCGGGTGCCCCCATGTTGGTGACAGAGGGGGACAGGACAGCTTTGCCACCTGACCTACATCTTCCTTTCAGCTAGTCCCCATTTGCCATCCCTGGTGGCAGCCACCATCCCCAAGCTGCGTTATATCCTCCACCCCCGGCCTCTCATCCTCACTACCACAAAGTTCTGTTCTTCCGAGCGTGCTGGCATGTATGTGTGTACTCCTCCAACTGTGGGAAAGGGGCCAGCTCGCCAGAGCTCCCATGGCTGGGCCTGGCACATGGATAGGTTTACGTGGGCCCTACCTTGGCATGGAGCCAGTGTGTACCTGGAGGTCAGGGGAGGGCCCAGGCATGGTGAGAGGGTCTTTGGTGCACAGCAGGCTCCACAGAAGGAAGCCCACATGGGCAGGTTCCTTCTCACAGGGAACCCATACCTGGGTCCTGCCTTAGCATGGAGCCTAGGTGTAGCTGGAGGTCGGGGGGAGGGTCCTTGGTGCACAGCAGGCTCCACTGAAGGCGGAACTGCATGCTCACCCATGCCCTCTCTTCAGGCTGTGTCTCTTCTCCCCGTCCGCAGGAGCTACGGGTTATCCCCTGCACTCACCGCTTTCACAGGAAGTGTGTGGACCCCTGGCTGCTGCAGCACCACACCTGCCCACACTGTCGGCACAACATCATAGGTAAGGGTCCCCAGCCGCTGCCGCCGGCACTGCCAGGGGTGAAGTTACAGGACGCTGTCTTGTTAGTACTGAGCCTGGTGTTAGGAACCCCTAGGGTACCAGCATGAAGGGTCTTCCCAAAGCCACCACCCCTGCCCCCATCTCTTCAGTGGCGTCAAAGTAAAGATACCCACTCCTGCCGAGAGTCACAGGGCTATTCCCCAGGGCCACAAGGGCCAAGGCATGTGCAGTGCCAGTTTTGCGTTACTTGTTGTGGAGTAAGGGACACTATCATCTTGTGTCACCCCCACCCCCATTGCTGTCCACATACTCAGGTGATGCCCTGGTCCGGCAGAATGGTGAGGAGGTGGGCACAGGTCCTTATGAGGGTGACCACCTTTCACAGAGACACAGTCAGCCCTCCCCCAGCACAGCCAGGCTCGGCAACAACTTAGAAGTGGGCAGGCTCAGGAAAATAGGCACCTTGTCCCATGACCAAGCCCACTGCTCCAAGCACTATCGTGTTTCGCGTCCAGTACCTGTCTGCTTGGCCCTGCTTACTCTGTTTTGTCTGCTTCTTCTCAGAACAAAAGGGAAACCCGAGCGCCGTGTGTGTGGAGCCAAGCAACCTCCCTCGGGGTCGGCAGCAGAGGGTGACCTTGCCCGTGCATTACCCAGGCCGTGTGCACAGGACCAATGCCATCCCAGCCTACCCCACCAGGACGAGCATGGACTCCCACGGGAATCCCGTGACGCTGCTGACCGTGGACCGACACGGGGAACAGAGCCTCTACTCTCCACAGACCCCCGCCTATATCCGTGGCTACCCACCCTTCCACCTGGACCACAGCCTGGCCACACACCGCTGTGGCCTGGAGCACCGGGCCTACTCACCAGCCCACCCCTTCCGCAGGCCCAAGTTCAGCGGCCGCAGCTTCTCTAAGGCAGCTTGCTTCTCCCAGTATGAGACCATGTACCAACACTACTACTTCCAGGGCCTCAGCTACCCGGAGCAGGAGGGTCAGCCCCCCGCCAGCCTGCATCCCCGGGGCCCGGCCCATGCCTTCGCACCCAGTGGCGGTGGTGGCAGTGGCAGTGGCGGCCTGCTCTTCCCCACCATGGTGCACATGGCCCCGCCCTCCCACCTGGAGAGCGGCAGCACATCCAGCTTCAGCTGCTACCACGGCCACCGCTCAGTGTGCAGTGGTTACCTGGCCGACTGCCCGGGCAGTGACAGCAGCAGCAGCAGCTCTGGCCAGTGCCACTGCTCCTCCAGCGACTCGGTGGTAGACTGCACCGAAGTCAGCAACCAGGGTGTGTACGGGAGCTGCTCCACCTTCCGCAGCTCCCTCAGCAGTGACTACGACCCCTTCATCTACCGCAGCCGGAGCCCATGTCGCGCCAGCGACGCCAGTGGGTCAGGCAGCTCGGGCCGGGGGCCTGCTGTGCACCTCGAGGGCTCCCCGCCACCACCCGCACCACCACCTCCACCCCTGCCACCACCTGAGGAGTTCCAGGCCGTACATCATGGTGCTGGGCGGGGTGAGGCCTGGCCGGGTCCCACCTCGCCCTCGGGGGACCAGCTGTCTACCTACAGCCTGGACATGAACTACAGCAGCAGCTCCTCACTGGAGCACAGGGGGCCCAACAGCTCTACCTCAGAAGTGGGGCTCGAGGCTTCTCCTGGGGCCGCCCTGGACCTCAGGAGGACCTGGAAGGGGGGAAGTGAGGGGCCACTGTGCACCTGTTGCTGTGAGCCCCAACCCTCAGCTTCCGGGTCCCCCCTTCATGAGGCCTGTGGCCTCGCTGGTGGGGAGCCACAGCCAGGGCAACCGGGGAGCTCCATGTATGGCCTTCCCCCAGCCCATCGGCCCAGGACAGATGGGGTAAAATATGAGGGCCTTCCCTGCTGCTTCTATGAAGAAAAGCAGGTGGCCCCAGGCGGCTGCCACACCGAGGACTACTCCGTGAGTGTGCAGTACACACTCGTTGAGGAACCCCTGCCCAGCTGCTACCCGGGGGCCCGGGATCTCAGCCAACGCATCCCCATCATCCCAGAGGACGTGGACCCAGACCTGGGCCTGCCCTCAGACTGCCAGGGCCCCCAGAGCCTTAGCCCCTGGGGTGGGCCGCCCGCCCTGGACACACCTTGGTCCCATGGGGCTCAGGGAACAGCCCAGGAAGAAGAGTGGCCCCCATGCCATCAGGCCGGGGAGCCACTACCACCTGGCTGCCCTTCAGACGATGCGGGTGCCTCCACAGCCAGCTTCCCCTGCACCTCCCAGGACACTCAGGAGTCTAGCGCCATGGCCCCCGAGGCTGCAGGTGAGTGCAGGAGGTGGCCCTGGGCCAGGGCAGGGATCCCCATGGGGGTATCCTTCTCGTTGTATTTTCTGAAAGTCTCCTTTGTGCCTTGGCTTTGTTTTTTGTTTTTTTTTTTATTGGAAAGTCAGATATACAGAGAGGAGGAGAGATTCACTCTCCAAATGGCCACAATGGCCAGAGCTGTGCCAATCCAAAGCCAGGAGCCTCTTCCAGGTCTTCCACGTGGGTTCAGGGTCTCAAGGCTTTGGGCTGTCCTCAGCTGCTTTCCCAGGCCACAAGCAGGGCCCTGGGTGGGAACCAGGGCCACCAGGATATGAATCGGCGTGCATATGGAACCCCGGCACGTGCAAGGCGAGGACTTTAGACACTAGGCTACCGCAGCAGGCCCTTGCCCTTGGCTTTGTTGAATACCATCTACACCTGATAACAGCCAGGTGTTCTTCCCCAGTAAGCTCTAGGTCAGGTCCATCAAGTCCGTGTTTCCATGATCAGGAAACAGACATTGCAGAAGACAGCAGCGGTCACAGCTCTTTGTCTTTCTTTTGAACCTTCTCAGTGAGGCAGAACGCGTCCCCCAGTACTGTGTGTTCCAGCCCCTGCCTAGCTTTCTAACCCACTCCTGTCTCCTCCCTACTGGCTTCCTGCCCTGTCCCTGTGTGCCTCCTAAGTCCTCCCAAGCCCAGGTCCCTCTGGGTTGGAGCCTCTAAATTCTGTTAGCCGGGGTTGTCCCCACTGCCTCTGCCCTGGGCCTGTCTCTTTGGTATGTTGCACTCTTGTGCCACCTAAGGGCTTCCAGAAGGCTCTGCAGGTCCAGACGGCAACTGTGTTCTCAGGCCACATGGGACCTGTTTGAGCCTGTGCACCGCTGTGAGCTGTGCCTGCATCCTGCTAGGCCCCTCCCTCAGTCCCTGTGCCCCCTGCCCCAGGCCTGCACTGCCAGCGTCTCCCCTGATGACTGTTGTCTCTCTCCCAGGACCAGGACCTCGCCCGGCAGACCCCAGCGGCCCAGGAGCCTGAGCAGAGAAGGAACACTTCTCTCAAAATGGGAAACTGTATGGAGACTCCACACTCTGACTTCCTTCAAAAACAAACAAAATTTATTTTTTAGCTTTGACAAACACACAAAAGTGGTAATAAAGAGAGCCCTCCTTCTCAACCCAAAATGTGAGCCACCTGTGGCAAGATGCCACCCTCACCTGATCCCACCCCTCGTTTATCACAGCCCTCCCCAATCCCTTCCTATGCCCCTGTTGGTAACATGTCACCCTTCTGTTTTGTAAAGTGTGTGTGCTTGGGGTTCCGCGGTATGTGGGATTGAGTTCTCTGCTCTTTTTTTTTTTTTAAAGATATTATATGTAAATGTAAAAAGTTATTTAAATATATATTTTAAAGAACCCTAATCGCCAACTTTTGCTGAAAGAGAAAAAAAAAATCACTGGTGCATTTGAATGACCCACGTCATGTGTAGATACTGTTGTCTCCCGCAGGGAGCTCAGGCCTTTGAAAAGCTCAGGGCGACACCTGCCTTAGAAAACCAACCAGAAACTTGAAGCCAAGCCAGTTGTTGATATGGGTACAAATGCCAAGGAGCCATGCCACACTGCCTCTCCCGGGCATGTCTCTGGCAAGTTCCAGTGTCTAAACTGCAGGGACTCCTGGGAAGCCCAGCCTCTCTGGCGCTCACCTTCAAGACCAGAATAAGGGGGCAGGTGTGCAGCTCCATGCAGCCAAACCATCACGCCTCCCCTTCCCCGCCTCACCCCAAGCCCCACGCCAGTTCTTGCCCAGAAGTCTCCATCTGTCCCTCTGGGTCATCTTCCTGAGGCAAATGACCGAGAGCCCAGCCAGCCCCTGGCCTTGGCAGAGATCCCGGTCATAGTAAAGGGTAGTGTGTCTTGAGGCCGGGTAACTCTGTCTCAAATTCTGACCCCTGAGGTTAGAACAGAGGTAGCCCCCCAACCCCCAACCTTACCCCCTTCCTGGGTGGCCCTGACTTTGGCCTCCCGCCACTTGACTGCAGAAAAGGTTCGACCAGGGTGTGTGGGGCGCACATCCAGGAGGAAGGTTGTTTTGTGGTCTTGGTGTCCCATGGGGCTGGGGCCGGAGTGGTCCCCACTGACCCAGCTGCGTGTGCTTGGAGATGGGGGGCAACCACACCCCTCTGCTGCTGCTGTTTCTGGGGCAGCCTTCTGAGGGACACGGAGCTGGACCCATGGGGGCTCCACCAAGTTCTGAATGCCAGCCTTTCCCAGCTCTCCCCATGCCCCCACGTGAGCCCTGCTTCAGGGTCCATCAGCCCTCCACCTCATGGCTGAAGTTGCTCATCTCACTTGCAAATGCCTACTAGCCTGTCTCCTCATGCACTATTAAGTATTGGTTCTCCATGAGACAGAGAGGATCAGAGGGCTGAGACCCACAGGGTAGCCCTTTGTATATTTCCCTAGCCTCTTATTTTCTGTGAAAGGGGGAGTTTTAAAGAAAAAGAAGAAAACCCAAAACATGTTTTTTGGGTCTTTTTCTGTTTATGTTTCATTTTTTAAAAAGGGAGAATCTATTTAAAGCTATTTCAAATCAGGGATTGTCATCTTTTTTGTCCCCTGTATCCCTTATTCTTAAAAAAAATTTTTTTGTTTTCGTTAGAGGAAGCTAATCCCATTAGGCCTTGTTTCCACTGACCCTACATTCATTTTCAGCCAATGTTTTGCCTCCATCTAGAGAGTCTAGCCCCAGCCTGTAGGTGAAGAAGTAGAGAGCCCCTTTCCTGTCCCAGGTGACCCCACTCCCAATTCCCAGTCAGGCTCCCAGGCTTCCGACCTGAATAACTATTTTTGTTTTGCCTCAAACGTCCAATGATGGGAGCCCTTTGTCGTGGAGGACCTGACTGTGGTAAGAGGTTCCCAGCCTCCAGGCGGCTCTCCAGGGTTGTGCCCTGCACACCTGTTGGTGAGGGTGTGAGAAGCACCCAAGCTGCTGACAGGCGATCCGCGGGCCGCCTTTGTTCCTGGAGCCAGGAGGAGCAGCTGCCCAAGACGGCAGCTTGCATTACGCGGTTTTAGGGCAGCGGGTGTGTGGCTTTTAACGCGCACTGCAAAAAGCAGCTTCTCATGGTTGAGATTTTTGTTTGTTTGTGGTTTTGCTTTTTGTGTGTTTGATGCTTTTGAGGCCCCGCATATTAGCTGGCTGGTCTGAAACCGTACCCTGGTAGGGGTTTTCTTTTAACCTGTTTGGAGGGCTGCTCCTCAGTAGCCTCAAGCAATAAATCACAGAGAATGTGGCTCAGACTGGGCTTATTAAAATCAACACATCTGATTTTTAAAAGAAGCACCATTGAATGTTTAGCGTTTATAGGTGGTGGAAGCAAAAACTAAAATTTTAGAACTTTAAATATCCACTACTGCCTTGGAAATCTGGGCTGGCTCATCAGACAGGGAGGATCCCAGGATAAGAGTTGGATCACCCAACTGTCTCATTGTGTCACCATCAGCATCAAAAATAAATGTCTTCTTCAAGGTTGTCAGATTCCATTAAGATGACTGATACCTTGTTTGGCAGACTCCTCAAACTGTGGGACCCAGGACCACCTCATTCCCCGCCAGAAACCAGGGTGTCCCCATGGCCCGACCTGGCCTCAGTACAGCCTAGTCAGCACAAGGAAGAGATCTAGAACCACCTAGAAATGAAAGCTTAGATATTGTGGCTGACAGGGTTACCTCTGGTTGGACAGAGCCCCCTTTCTACTCTCCTCCAAGGCCAAGGGCATTTTATTCAAGGCCATCTGCTGTGTCACTGCTCAGTGCCCCAATCCAGTCCCCTCCTCAGCCCCTCCTCAGCTTCTGGTCTCCACTAAAGTTCATGCAGGACCAATGCTCTTAAAATGAGATCTGAAAAATAATTATTCATCAGAAGTATCGTTTTGTAAACAGAATTGCCTTTTTCTATTCTTTATATGAACTCTTTCTATTGTGTTGGTCTAACAAGGCACTATTTTTAAATGTTTTCTTTAAAAAGATTTTTTCTCCCATAGCACTTAAAAGATTTTGTAAAGACTTTGGTGTAAAGATTTTGTAATAAAATGGTCTAAGGGCTCTTTTTTTTTTTTTCCAACATTACCATTTTAAAAAATGTTTTAAAAGCTAGAAAACAACATATGTATATTCTGTATATGTATAGCAGCACATTTCGTTTATGGAAATATGTTCTCAGAATATTTATTTACTAATATATTTATCTTGAAGCCATGTCTTATGTTGAGAGTGTGACATTGTTGGAATAATCATTGAAAATGACTAACACAAGACCCTGTAAATACATGATAATTGCACACAGATTTTACATATTTGCAGACCAAAAAATGATTTAAAACGAGTTGTAGTCTTCTATGGTTTTGTAACAAACTGTACAAATGACTGTAAAAAATATATATATACGATTTTATCAAGTACTTATGCCGTGCTTTCGTGTCTGACAGAAAGGTGATCCAGATGCAATAAGAGAGGTTTCATGGAGCCAGAGTTTCTGACTCCAGCTCACCCACAGGCAGAATCTGGTGCCTTCCTTCTCTGTTAACATCAAATCGAGCCTACAGAGGAGTAAGGGGGAGTCCAGAAGGAGCACCTGCTATATAGGGCTTCAGAGGTGTTTGTTGGCTTGCTGCTCAGCTCTGGGTGCAGAGCACCAGGGAAAATGGTGGCAGTCAAAGACTACAAGCCTAATGGTCTCCTGTTTTAAAACAGGGAGTGCAGGATGCATGGAAACCACCAGCTTCCCCTGCCTGGGAGACTGGGAGACCCTCAAACCCCTGTAGGGAAAAAGTAACCTCTCATCAGAACCTGCAATATGGTGTATCAGGTTAATAATCCTCTCTGCTTGTGGTGCCAGCATCCCATATCCCAGCTGCTCTCTTGAGTCCCAGCTGTTCCACTTCCTATCCAGCTTCCTACTCATGTGCCCTGGGAGGCAGCCAATGATCAAGTATTTGAGCTCCTGGCTTCTGCCTGGCCTGGCCCTGAGTTGTTGTTGGCATTTGGGCAGGGGAATGAACTAACAAGTGGAAAAATCCTTGTTTCTCTACCTTTTCAAATAAAACCCTCCAAGCCCTTCACCCTGAAAGTTCACCTCATCTACAGTGGACAGGGACCTTGGGGTTGAGTGACTTTCATGCCATGCATGAAGCACTCTGAAATTGCATGGAAGGTACAAAGCAGTGTTTATTTTTCAGACGGTTAGCAGTGAATATCCTAGTCCTGGGATTGCCTATTTTTTGCACTTGGGCCACTTCTTGGGCACAGGCTCCTCCTGGACTGCCAGCCACTTCCGGCCCAGCAACTGGTCCTTGTGTATCCCATCTTGGGGGACAGCAGCCTGGCTGCACAGAGCTTTCCAGAGCTTCTGTTTCACGGTCTTGCCCAGCTCCAAACTGTACCTCTTGGGGGTTCCTGAAGGATTCCACAACATCGGCTCCACCACAGCGTGATATAGAGCCCGGTAGCCCTCGGCGGGGAGGCCATGGATGGTTAGAGTGTCCTCCGCCGATGGCAGTCGCCTGTGGGTTTCTGAAAGTGGTGCTTGGCCCTTGCAGGCTGCTGGCCAGTTGTCCCCACATAGTGCTTGGGTTGCAGTCACATGCTCCGTGTATCTATCCCGGGCATCTTGGCAGACTGTAGCTTCTTCCTCCTTTGAACTGTCTTCACTCTAGCCAGGAGGAAAGCAGAGAAGTCAAAGCTAAAACTTGAGAAGGAACATGGCATCATTATCTGGGACTGGCATCCCAGGGTCTTGGTCACAGCCACCATTTGTCTAACCAGTGTTTAGGTGACTGAATTCTTTCATGTGTGTCATGGCATGTGTTCCCCCTAGAAGTGGGTAAGGTCAGTGGGAGATGGTTTTAGGAAGTTGGAATTGGGTTTGCCCAAAGCCATACAACTGAAAGGTTAGTAACCACAGCTAATAGCTACGCAAGATCCTAATTGTTTGTTTGGTACTGGGCTGCATTTGGAAACCTTTTGTATGTATTAACTCAATCTTCAGAAGCCCTGGGAAGGGTTTCCACGTCATAAAATCGAAAGCAGAGATTAAACTCCAGGTTGCCCTCAGCTGAGATGGGAACGCTCTGAGCTTGGCTGCCCACCAACAAGGTAAGGAACCTGGATTCAGGTCAGACCTCTGCAGGTCAAGTTCACCATGGGGAGGGCCACAGTCATGTTCCTAGCTTACGTCAGGGCATGAGCTTGCACTAATCTGTATCCTGGCCGTGTTTCTCACCCTTGTTTTCCCGTTCACCACCAAATTCCTTTCGTCTGTGTTCCATAAAACTAGGCAGAATATAACTTAACAGAATAGCATAGCCCCAAATTGTGTGTGCTGCCCACTCTGTCATGGGGCACCCCTCCAATCTCCTTATCCCCACATCCTACCAACTTGTCTAGATATTCCTGCCTTTGGGAAAAAATTTCAATGTCAAGTGTTCTCAACCTTGACCTTTTTCCCTCTCCCTGCCCATCACATTTCCTCCACCATTGGCCAACATCTACCTCTCCGGTGCCTCCTGCATGCCTCCTGCACCCACGTGAACTTGGCAGCCATCCTGCCAGCTGCTTGCTTCTGGAACGGATGGAGTTTCTCATCCTGACACGCTGGGTGACTTTAGCCACTGAATTGTCCTTGGTTTTTAATGTCTTCACAGGTGGTTTTATGTCTCCCAACTTGCATGATGCTGGGCAGCGTTGATCTTTCAGTTGCCGCCTGAGCAACAGCTTAACCAGAGAGAAGGAACTGGCAATTAGTGGGTTCTTCACAACTTCCCAGCAGGAGGCGGTACCTGGGGTTGGAGCCTCGATATTCTCATTGGCACACATCCTAGCCGCCCAGTCACTAGAGAAAACTGGTGAGTCAATGTAGCAATCCTGGAGCCTCGTGTTCAATAGGACGCACTGGCGGAGTCCATAGGTGAGGGTGGGGTTTCGCCTCACGTAGACTGGATGCTAGAATTATAAAGGGAAAAGAAATGACCAGGTCTCAAGCAGAGACCAGGGCTACTACTAGGAAGACAAAAGTATTAATATCTTTGTATGGACCATTTCTGCCACATGGCTCTGAGAAAATCTTGCATATATATCTGTCCTCTCTCCTGCTCTCCAAAGCCTATTGGACTTAGCACAGAAGAGATGGTAACTATACAAATTCAAGGTAACATGTAGGCCCTCAAAGGACACTGCATCCTGGGGTCAGGATGGATTCACAGGAAATACACGACAATCCATTTTTGCTGGAAAGATAAGGCAATCTCTGGCAGAAAGTGGGAGGCAGGGTCATTGAAGACCTTGACATAGCAGGTTGGCATGGGCATAACCATAAAGATGCTGCTTGGGGAGTCTGCTTGCCACATCGAAGTGCTTGCATCCAATGCTCAGCTCTGCTCCTGAAACCAACTTCCTGCCAGTGTGCGCCCTGGGAGGCAGCAGGTGATGGCTCGAGTAGCTGGGTCCCTGCCATGTGCAGGTGGGTGATCCAGACCAAGCTCCAGCTTCCAACTTGAGCCATTGCAGACATTTGGGGAGTGAGCCGGAGAGCAAGGAGCTCTGTCTCTCTCCCTCTCTGCCATTCAAATCAATATAAGAAAAATTAATAATTAAGAACTTGTGTAGCCACTTCTCATCCATGCTGCAATGTACAAAGTCCTACCACATCTTGATCATGCTTTCTAAGCAGACTGCTGTAAGCCAAAAAAAAAAAAAGCTGCTAGCACACATTAGGAAAATCAATTCTGGGGTCCCAAATAGCACAATTAATGCCTGGGATTACCCAAGAACAAAAGAATGATGTGGTTACATTCGAATCACATAAAGTGATCTGTCTTTCTAAGAATTATCAATTATATATTTAAAACAATGAAACCACAAGGCCTAGCATTTGTGGTATAGCAATTTGGACCACCATGTACAATCCCAGCGCCCCATATGGACACTGGTTCAAGTCCTGGCTGCTCTACTTCCAATCCAGCTCCCTGCTAATGAACCTGGGAAAGCAGGAAGAATGGCCCAAGGTCTTGGGACCCTGCACCTCCAATGGAAGATCCAGCTGGAGTTCCAGGATCTTAGCTTCGGCTTTACCCAGCGCCCCAGTTATTGCAGCCATTTGGGTAGTGAAGCAGCAGTTGGAAGATTCTTTCTCTCTCTCCCTCTCTATAACTCTGCCTTCCAAATAAATAAGTCTTTAAAAATTAGTAAAAAAAAAAAAAAAAAAGTAATACATAAAATCACCTTACCATATTTCAGTTGCCTTAATTTTTATTTTAGCTAGCTTGGTAGGGGGGAAGAAATATGTATTTTCTCTTTCTTTTGTTTTAGTTAAATATTTCTAGTCACCTGTCTTTCCCTGCCACAGTCATGTGTGGGCAAATTGCAGTTTGTTTAAATGTTGGCTCATGTGCAGACAGTTTTGAGCCATTATCTCCAGTATTTGTGATGTCACTTTGGTTTGTGATGTGGGTGTGGTGGGTGTTACATCACCAGATTTGATAGTGAAATGATGTTGGAAGATAATCTATTTTGTTAGGCTTATAGCCTCAGAACCCTCTGAAGTCTTCATTTCTCCTTGAAGGGCTTGGGTGGGTGAATTTTGAAGTTATATGTTTTGCATAAAAGGTTGTGAAATATACAGACTTTTAAAAAACATTTATTTATTTTTATTGGAAAGGCAGATACACAAAGAGAGAGGAGAAAAATCTTCCATATGTTGGTTCACTCCCCAAGTAGCCACAACGGCCAAAGCTGAGCTGAGTTGATCTGAAGCCAGGAGCCAGGAGCTTCCTCTGGGTCTCCCACGCAGGTATGGGGTCCCAAGGTTTTGAGCCATCCTCCACACTGCTTTTCCAGGCCACAAGCAAGGAGCTGGTTGGGAAGTAGAGCAGCTGGCACAAGAACCAGCACCCATATGGGATGCTGGCACATGCAAGGCAAGGATTAGCCACTAGGCTATCACGCCAGGCCGGAAATACACAAACTTTTACAGGCATTGTGCCACAGTGACTTAAGTCTCTGCCTGCGATACCGGCAACCCATCTGAGCAAAGGTTCAAGTGCCAGCAGGTACCCTGAGGATCCTGCTCAATGTGCCTAGGAAAGCAGCAGAAAGCGCTTGAGCTCCTGTTACCCAAATAGAAAATTCAGATGGAGTTCCTGGCTCCTGGCTTAGTCTTGGCCAAGCCCTGGCTACTGCAGCCATTTAGAAACATGAACCAGCAGGTGGAAGATTCTCTGTCAAACTCTGCCTTTCAAATAAATAAATAGACAAATAAATCCATCTTAAAAAGAAAATCTGCAAGCCAGATCTGGAGATTCCGGTTCATCTTCCCATGAGCCAAAGGAAGGATCAAGAAGGTCCTGTTACCTACACAGGCCAGCCAGCTGCCAGGGTTAGGGACCAGAAATGAAAGACCACACTCCTGTCATTCTGGACACTGTGTGTGTGTGTGTGTGTGTGTGAGAGAGAGAGAGAGAGAGAGAGAGACTCCTGGAACATGGTCTGATTTTACATCCCATGGCAGATGCCGTAATTAGAGCTGTTGGCTGTGTCAGGGGCTGGAAACAAGAACAAAGACGCTTCTTCCTGGCAGCTCTTAGGCAATGCCTTTCTCCGGATCAGGTGCCCGTCCTGTTGGCAGTTAGGGCTCCCTTTTTTTTTTTTTTTTAAATAATAAAATGCCAGCAGAATCTTCCTCCCCAGGGCGAGGAGAGGGAAAGGATGGAAAAAGCGAGTCGCAGGTCTGGCAGGGGCTCCTAGAAGCGCATGTGTTGCCTGTTTGAATCTTTTGAATGTTTTGTTCCTGTCCTGACTCAGAGCCCTTGGGCCAGCCGACCGACCACACCGCAGGCCACCGCTGCCGCCACCACCACCACCGGCAGTAGCTGGACCCACAAGACACATGGCAGGACAATGGCGCCCATTCAGTGCTCAGTCCTGGCTGCCCCTCCCAAGAGGTGGTCCGGTTTTTAGGACAGGGTGTTGGAAGGGATTGGTCTCTAGGAAGGGTTTGCGAACGTCTGGAGATGGGGCTGGTCAATCTCTTAAAGCTGGCAAATCTTGGGAGAGAGCTGGCTCCCAGAAATGAGGAGTGCACAAGAAAAATGTGAGTTCTGAATAGTCCGCACAGATGGTCTGCTCTCTTCACTGCTCTTCTTCTTTGCAAACACTTATGCAGTGTCTTTCTTTTCTTAGCCCTTTCACTCCAGAACCACGTCACATCTCTCTGGTTCACAGGAGGGCTTAGCCTGAGACAGAACTGTTTCCCCAGGAGGCCCTTGATACACATCTGCAAATTCAGGCAAACGCCACCTTCTCTCTCTTTCCAATGCAACATACCTCTGTGGACTGTGCCCCAACAGGTTATTCTCACCTTGCTAAGAACCAGCCCAGAGTGACTTGGCCTATGCTATTTCTCCTACATCAACACTATGAGTATTTATCAAATGGTACATGAAGGCCGGGCATGGTTCTAGGTACTTTACAAGCATCATGTCATGAAAATGCTACCTACATTCTGCTGGGTTTGGGGTTGGTTTCCACCCATGCTCAGGAAGAAGACATGGAGACATAAGGAGTTCAAGCATTAGACCCCAAGGCCTGTAGCTTGGAGTCAGAGATTGGACTCAAGCCAATGCTACACTGCCCTTGCTCTGAATCACTTGGAATGAGCACCATGGGGGCCTTACCTCCTACCTGGTCCCACTGCTTACCATGCCTGGGCCTAATTCTGATTTTCTCCTTGTCCTGGAACTTGTTGTGGATTCAACAGATGAGCTGCCCAAGTTGGCATACAAACTCCAACTCTGAACAGGGAAATTAATTCAACCTCTGAGCCTCAAGTTTCCTTGTCCGTGAGCCAGGGATGGTAACAGCACCTACCCAAGTAAAGGTGAAATGGACAATGTCTGGGAAGAATTTGACATGTATCTTGCTTAGAGTGAGCATTCCCTAATGTTTTGGGCTGGGTATCTGGCTCAGTGGGTGTGGTGACCATGTCCCACAACAACTCATAACTCCAGCTCCCGGCTTCAGTGTCCTGCCAGCATGTGCCCTCGAACACCAGGTGATGGCTGAGGTACTAGGGTCACTGTCCTCCATGTGGAAGATTCAAGACTTAGTTCCAGGCTCCTGGTTTTGGCCTGATCCAACCCTTGATGACGTAGACACATGAGGAGTAAAGCAGGCAGATGGGAGATCTCAGTTTCTGGTCTGACTTAGGTATCACAGCATCTCTTTTCTCACATTCTGTTTTTATTAACCATTTGTCCAAATACCAGCAGCATTGTGACATAGTAGGTAAAGCTACCACCTGTGATGCCAGAATCCCATGTGGATGACGGTGTGTCCTGGCTGCCCCACTTCTAATCTAGCTCCTTGCTAATGGTCTGGAAAAGAAGTGGAAGACAACGCAAGTGTTTCAGTCCCTGCTACCCATGCAGAATTCTTGGTTTTGGCCTGAACCAGCGCTGGTCATTGTTGCCAACTGGAGAGCGAACGAGTGGATGGAAGATCTGTGCATGTGTGTGTATGTGTGTCTTCCTCTCTCTGTAATTCTATCAAAACAAAATACATAAATTATAAATATTTGTCCAAATTTGTCCAGATGATAAACATGTTTCTTCATAAGTTGTGGGAGTTTTCCAGAATATTCTATGCTTTTTGTTTTTCTTAAAGATTATTGATTTTGGGCCCGGCACAATGGCCTAGAAGCTAAAGTCCTCGCTTTGAACATGCAGGGATCCCATATGGGCCCCCGTTCTAATCCTGGCAGTGCCACTTCTCATCCAGTTCCCTGCTTGTGGCCTGGGAAAGCAGTCGAGGATGGCCCAAAGCCTTGGGACCCTCACCCGCATGGGAGACCTGGAGGAAGTTCCTGGTTCCCGGCTTCAGATCAGCGCAGCACCAGCCATTGAGGTCACTTGGGGAATAAATTATCTGATGGAAGATCTTCCTCTCTG